ACCATTACACCAGCTCTCACAGAAAGTTTGCCACCTTTGTAAGTTTAAAGTTAGAGAAGGCACCTCTGAATGCCCAATTTAATTTTAAAAATGGAGAACCTGAAATCTATGAGAAAGTCCAAAGTATTTCATGCTCTTCTAAAAGTAAATTTAAATAGAATAGAATAGAATAGAAGAGTTGGAAGGGACCTTGGAGGTCTTCTAGTCCAACCCCTGCTTAGGCAGGAAATCCTACACCACTTCAGACAAATGGTTATCTAACATCTTCTTAAAGACATCCAGTATTGGGGCATTCACATAGAGATATTGGAAGGCTGCTATCATGTCTCCCCTGGTCCTTCTTTTCATCAAACTAGACATATCCAGTTCCTGCAACCATTTCTCATATGTTTTAGTCTGCAGTCCCCTAATCATCTTTGTTGCTCTTCTCTGAACTCTTTCTAGGGTCTCAACATCTTTTCTACATTGTGGTAATCAAAACTGCAGTATTCCAAGTATGGCCTTACTAAGGCCTTATAAAGTGGTATTAAACCTTCACGGGATCTTTATTTAAAAGATCTGTAATAGTTCCTCAGTACAAATTGTTGAGAAGCTGCTTACCAAATTTGTCATTCTTTAGCTTGCATGCATGGACACACACACACACACACACACAAACAACAACAACAAACTAGTTCACTCCGAAACCGAAGAACCCATTGCTTCTTTTAGCTTCAGGCCCGGTCCTTTCCTTCCTCCCCAGCGGCCGAGTCCATCCCGCTAGTCTTGCGTCCGTCAATCAGCCGCGAGATCAGAAATCAAGCAAACTGTAAGTTGCATCACCCAAGCCCTCCCTCTGCAACCTTCCCGGCCCCTCCTTCCTTACCTGTGGATGCTCTCCTTTTCCACCACCTCGTAGGAGAGCTCGATGTTGGGGTAGCGGTTGCAGAAGCGAGCCACGTCTGCAATCTGGGCGTCGGAGAGCTGGAGCAGGACATTGCGGTCCTCGTCTTCCATCTCCATGATGTCGAACACGCTCTCCACTCCCTGCGCAGAACGACAGGCAGGAGGTTGAGCAGGCAGCCCCACCCCCCAGGGGAAAAGCCTCCGGGTTACAGTGTCATTGAAACACCCCCCCACACCCTTCAGTATCAGCTGACACACAGAGGAGAATCAGTTGGAGGCCTTGTGCTCCCACTTATGGGGTTGCCATTGCTTTTTGGCAATGGGCAGCCGGAACAGAAAGAAGCAGGATGAACCCACCCTACAGGCAGCTGTAGCTCTGGGAGCAGCCGGGCAGTTCTTGATTGAATAAATTCTCTGAACTGCAAGCAGTTCACAGCACACTCTGTAAGTATGTAAGTCTAACTGCTATTGCTATTGCTATTGCTTGCTTGCTTGCTTCCTTCCTCTCTTATTCCCTTCTCCTTCCTGGTATTGCAGTGGTTAGAATGCACCATTGCAGACTGACTCTGCCCAGAGCCAGTTCGATCCTGACTGGCTCAAGGTTGAGTCAGCCTTCCATCCTTCCAAGGTGGGTCAAATGAGGACCCAGATTGTTGGGGCAAAAGGCTGACTCTTTAAACCGCTTAGAGAGGACTGGGAAGCTCTGTGAAGTGATATATAAATCTAAGTACTATTGCTATTTTCCTTTTTTCCTTCCTCCCTCCTTCCTTTTATTCCCCTTCTCCTTCCTGGTGCTGCAGTGGTTAGAAGGCAAACTGCCCACTGGCAGGAGTTTGATCCTGACCGGCTCAAGGTTGACTTCCCCTTCCGTCCTTTCGAGAGGGGTCAAATGAGGACCCACATTATTGGGGGACCACATGCTGACTCTGTAAACTGCTTAGAGAGAGACGTAAAGCACTGTGAAGCGGTATGTGTAAGTCTTAAGTGCTAGTGCTATTTTATAAATTGCGCCCCTCCCTGGTTCTCAATTACTCCTCAGGGAAGCCCAGAGGCAGCACCAGACCTTCTCCTAAGCTGAGCCCTTGGGAACTCTAACCCTTCCAAGCCGGTTGGTTAGTTTTCCAGTATAGCCAGCCCAGCTCAGAGTTCTTCAATTCGGCTGGATATAAATCTTGTAAATATATGGCTTTGATTTAAATTTTTTTTTTAATTCTCATGCAATTGGGGACTTCGCTCTGACTATTTTCTGCCGTGCCCGATTGCTAAGGCCTGCCGTGTCCTTTCCCTGGGCTGCTCCGTTGCTCTTCCTTACTGAGCTGCAACGGTAGAGCCCAAGGGTCGATTCTCACCTTCTCGGTGCAACGCCGGATGTTTTCGGAGGTGAAGTGCGGCAGCTGCTTCAGGTAGGAGTCCTTCGACCACATGGCCTGGGTGACCATCTGGGCCAGCTCCATGGCCGCCAGGGCGGGGCTCAGCCAGCCGTTGCTGGACAGGACATCGACGCAGGCTTGGATCAGCCGGATGGCCTGGGGACGGGAAGACAACGGATTAAGGGTGCCAGGCAAAGCCCCTACCGAGTCAGCCAGCTGGACCATGCTCCTGCCGGACCCAAAGAGGCAAGGCCCTCTTCCTCCCTCTTCTTCCTCCCTCCTGTTCTGTACCTTGCTCAGGATCTCCTCGGTGTCTGACTGGAGCTCTGCGCTTAGCTGCATCCGCGACAAATGCGCTTGCAAAAGGAGGTTGGTTTTGATGTGGGGATCGTTGAATTTGGGGTTGTTCAGCTTGTGGGGCACTTTCTGGGCCAGCTGGAGAAGGAAGGAAGGAGGAGGGTCTTCTAAGCATCAAACACGACCATACACTAGCACAAACTGCCTGTCAGGCCTGCAGCCAACTTTTCTTTTGGCTCTTTGGCCTGCTACACTTTCCATTATTCTACTATGCATTTTCTATGGTGGGAAAATGGGACGGGGGATTGTACGGAGTTAGATGCTATGTAGCCTTAACAACATTATTTCTAGAAAGCCAAGGTCATCCTTTGTCTGTGCACTTCTGCACCTGACCAGAACTGGATGGGTGGAACTGCCACCATTGCAGTGGGAGATGGGATCATATGGTGGACTTTTGGGTGTGGGGGCAAGATCTTGAAGTTTCAACTGGGTGGGGAAAAATCGGGAAGCTTTCAGATTCAGCTTTTCCCAGATGTGCCAACATGGCTCTCTTCATCAATTGGAACTTTGTGGAATGCTTTGCCTTGGACTCTGATTTACTTTTGGATGCTACTTGGAACCCTGACAATTCCATCTCCATTTGCTACCCACCAAGGTCCCACTTTCATTTTATCAAAGAAGGATTTAAGCCAGGGATGTCAAACTTAAGGCCCAGGAGCTGGAGCCGGCCTGCGGGATGCTTACAGTAGATCTGGCCCGTGGAGCAACTCTGAGGCCCTCCTGAGCTCTGTTTTCACTGGCAGAGAGTTGCAGGAGACCGTCGCAGCCAAAAACGGAGCTCGAGAATCCATTTTCACTGGCAGAGCGCTCAGGCCACCACAGTTGCGTCCAACATGAGTGAGGTTGAGCTGGCCACACCCACACTGCCCCCCGCAAGGTCAAACACAACCCTGATGCGGCCCTCAATGAAATCGAGTTTGGCACCCCTGGTTTAAGATATTGAAATTGGAGCATTCCTTGGGAAAAGGTGCCTTTGGGGGAGTGCAGGAAACACATGGGATTCTGCAAGAAATCCGCAAGCTTCTTACAATCTGCTATGTTGATTCTGCTAATGGATCCCTGGAGACAATTGTCATTCTATACATTTCTCAACAAACTAATTAAGAGAGAGCAACTGTGGCCACCCATTTTTTGCTCGTTTTTGCCCCCTCCCCCACCAGCTCCAGGAACACTCTACAAGCCCCCTAAAGGCTATGCATGCCCTTTTTTGACGAAAAACATTCAGTTTTTGGGAGGTCTGCAGAGTGCAAAACCTCTTTTTTTAAGTTTGCCTCCTCAAAATCTTGGTGCATCTTATACTCCGAAAAATATGGTATTCATCTCCCTGCCAGACTGACTTGTTAGCCTGCGGTGAGAGAGAAACCTTTTGTCGGGGCTGCCGACACTCCTAACAAAGGAGTCGTTGACTTAAATACAGAGGGCTTGTCATGTTTGGGGACCTGGGTCAGAACAGTCAGGAACCTCCCATGGGATACAGAGATGATCATTCCCTTACCTGCCGCAAGAGATTGTCCTCGTGGTGCCTAATAGGAATATTCTCATATTCCGCAGCGTTGGAGATAATTTCAATCAGACCTCTCACTTTGGTCTTGGCATTCAGGGACATGCTGAAGAGTTCTAGAGCGGATAATTTGAGAAAGGAAGAGAAGCTGCATCAGATCCCGAGGTCCAAGGCTGGAGGCTGTGGCAGCGAGGGACACGACGCACACACCCACACCCCTCTCTCCCCCAGACCCATTACCGATGGTGGTGTAGTTGATGTAATAATAAGCTGCGATCATGCCCAGATTCAGAGGCGCCACGTCCATTTCATCTTCCACACTGATGCACTTGGACTGCTCCAGGTCACTCAGCGTTTGCTCCACTAACTCGGAAAGGTGATCAGAGAGATGCCGGTGGGACACGCCTGGGCAGAGGAACAGATCAAAAGTCAGAAGCTGCAGGGTTTTGAGATACACTCCCGCGGACTGATCAAATATTGTTAATATTTGGCGTTATTAGTAATCCTACACATTAGGAATATTAAAGCTATAGTGGAATAATGAGTAATTCTTAAAATATTAAATGATAGCATTTAGTAGGGGATAATAAATATATGGCGTAAAGAAATGTTATTTATGTTTAAATGAATTACCGTATTTTTCGGAGCATGAGATGCATCTTTTCCCTCCCTAAAAGAGGGTGTAAATTTGGGTGCGTCTTATACTCCGAATGTAGCTTTTTTGAAGCTTTTTTTCAGCCCTGAGGTGCTAATGAATGAAGCTCTAGATCGTTTTTCCCGGGGTTTGGGGGTTCGTTCCAGCTGGGAGAAGCCTAGTACAAAAGATTTGAAGACTGCTTTAAGAGGTACTTCTTTTGTCCAGTTTCTATTTTTGGGAGATAAGCCTCTCAAGGGCAAGGCAGAGAGTTCCTATCTGAGTTTTCTCAATGGTTTCCTTCAGGCAAGGCTTGAGCTTGAGCTGGTTTGTTCATTCAGCTTTGTTACATTTTATGAGGTGTGAATTGCTTTTGGCTGAATGCCCAGACATCTAGTTAAGCTTATTAAGATTTTATCTGGCTGCCTGGGGAAAGGAAAAAAGTGGCAAAAAGTGTCATTTTATTATATTATTGTGTTTGCTTGCTTTTCTGGTGCTACGGGAATAAAAATGAATACTTGGTAGGCAGAATTCCCCCCCCCCCTATTTTCCTCCCCAAAAACTAAGGTGCGTTTTATACACCAAAAAATGCAGTAATGGAAAAATGATAAAGGATTATGGAAAGAGACTAATTTTGTTGAAGTTGGAAGATTAGATAGTTCTCCTCACACATATGTGCTAGTCGTTCCCGACTCTAGGGGGCTCATCTCTGCTTCAAAGCAGAAGAGCCAGAGCTGTCCAAAGACATCTCCGTGGTCATATGGCCAGTATGACTCAATGCCAAAGGCACACGGAACACTTTTACTTTCCTACCAAAGGTGGTTCCTATTTTTCTACTTGCATTTTTATGTGCTTTCGAACTGCTAGGTTGGCAGAAGCTGAGACAAGTAATGGGAGCTCAGTCTGTTATGCAGTGCTAGGGATTCGAACTTCTGATCGACAAGCTCAGCGTCAGTCACTGAGCCACCGCTTATACTTATATTTATGCATATTTGTATCACTATTATTAATGTTGTTTTAAAAAGACCCAGTCACTGTCCACAAAATATGTTTATACTGGAAAAAATAAAAAATGTATATTAAAAAAAAAGTCAGAAGCTGCACATCTGGAAAGGTTTGGAAACGGTCCAAGAGCTGACTGGAATGAGTCGGGGGGGGGGGGGGGGGGGGAGGCAGGGAAAGGAATCACCTTGTAGGTTGTAATAATTGGGATTCTGGGTCATCCTGCGGTACAGGAAGGTCCAGGTGAGGTAGTCCACCGCATCCTGCTTGTTCTCAATGGTCTTGGTGACAATCTCAGCATTGAAGTGATCGTGCATGCAGTGGTCAAGGTGAGACTCCACCGGAAGGGGCTCATAGAGGAACTTTTTGAAGAAATCCTTGAACGGAAGAGCCAAAAGTTAGCCTGGGGGTGGGGGAATTGCCTGCTTAAGATTAGGGGTTCAAAATTCCAGAGTGGAAGAGAACCTCCTCCAAACAAATCATGCTAACACAACATGCAAAATGAGGGAAAGATCCCCCCGCCTGGTCCTTCAAGGCTGTAGGTTTTTGCAAGCCAAAGTCAATCAAGTGGGAATGAGTTTTCAGGCTGAATGACCAAGATCTAATTTTCTGACCTCCAGAGGTTTTCAATTATTTAAGGACTATTTAATCTTGAGGTGGCATTAAAAAAAATCTGCAGCAACCTCACCAGAAAGAATATCTCCCAAACAGGAATCAGATCTCTTTGGCATTCTCAGAAACAGATCAGAAATCTACCTGCATAAAGAACCAATCAACAGCCAGCTTCAAGAACAGACTAACCGAGAACCGGTTCCCTTGGAATTTCTTCAAAATAGATCAATCAGAAGTCTATCTACATAAGGAATTAACTTCCTTGAACTCTGGAGACAAGGATAAAATCAGAGAGCATCTTGCTACATTCAAATACAAGAGTCCAGGTAGTTGCTATTCATTGCTTATGAGTTGCTGAGATGTACGCTCCTTAGCAGCTGACTCTGTCTCTGAAAATGCCAGCCAAAGTTGTTGGCAAAACATGAGGACCCCAGAAAGCTGAGTGTTGTGGCCCACCAGCCGCCAGCAGAGCTGGCAGCAGATTCGGACAGTGAGGAGGTTGAGGAGGAACATGGGCCAATCCTGGAGTCTGGGGAAGGCTCTGACGAGGACTCTGTGTCGGAGGCAGAGAGGGGGCTGAGGCCATATGCCAGTTATCAGCTGCCTTCAGAGTCAGACATCAGTGAGGTAGAAGAACAGCTGGAACTTGTTCCCAGTGTGTGCATGTGCAGAGTTGCCAGACGAAGGGAACAGCTAACGAACAGGGGTCGACTTGGGAGTAGGGACACAGATGGATAATGAACAGCCCCTCCCAGAGGAAATAAAAGAGCTAAAGTGGAGTGGAGTGGAGTTTGCAGGAGACAATTAATTCACTTGATTGGTTAGTGACTCTCTGAGATTACTTGCCAAGCTTTGCAGATCTCGGCCTGGCAGCTCTCCAAGCCA